CTAAGGGGGATGGAATGTGAGGATTAAGCCCTCAATGTCTCTTATACACATCTAGATGTGTATAAGAGACAGGGTATATACTCAACTCACACCCCGATTTCTTCTACCAAGCTCTGGACGTTGTTGCTCTCAGATTCATCGTTCTACCAAGCTCTGGACGTTATTGCTGTCAGATTCATCCTTTTCTGCCAGTGATTGCAGGTAGTGTTAGGCACGATCGACATCATCGCTCCTTTGAAAAGTGTGAAAAACCGACGAAAAGAAAGAGGAAATGGTCCACCGAAGAAAAACAAAGGGGAAACGTCCAAAAATAGCGGCTGCCAGGAGCAGTGACCGTTTGCGGCTGCACCGACCGTTGTGTGCCTGCCAAGGTCTGAACTGGCAGTTCCCCGCCCAACCCAGTTCGGCTCCGCGTGTCCCAGCCCTGGCGGCGCAGGAGCCTTATCGGGGGCTAGGTCCCACTTGCACGAATTATGAGTTACTGACTGTAGATAGCAAAGATCGACGGCCGAAATCTCCTAATTTGCGCAAGTGGGACCTTGCCGCGGGTCCAGAGCATCTCCTCCACCGCCGACTCTTTCAACGAATAGAGCGGTAAGCCCAACTATAGAATGTGGGCCCGTTTTTCTTGAGTAAACGTCCATGGTGAGACCCGTTGATGTAGACTCCGACATCGGCGGATCGGCTAAAATAGAGCGTAAGGTGATCCCGTAGCTATTCGCGTCGTGGGCCCAGCTCATGGCCAGCCTTGTTTATCTCCTTCGATAGCGTGCCTCTCCGCCGAGTCAGACCCTCTGCTTGTTCTATTGACGTGCCCTCCCTTCATTTCCTGCCTCTGCGTCGTCAGTCGTGCCTCTGCTCACCTTCATTCTTCGCCTTCCCTCTCTGTGCTCTCTCTAGCACGTTTGATTGTTCGTAAACCTTTGATGATACTCTCTCGAAGCTCGGCGTATGAAGCAATGTTGCTCTGGTTCTGATTCCTCGCTTACGTTTTTACAGACGCCTGCCAACATGGCCGGCTTGCGGAGGTGGGAAGACTTGTGATTAAGGCACTCGAGTTCTCGTGCAGTGTCCTTCTCGCTTCTGCAGATTGAGCTGCAAGGAGTCACGCTCGAGGGATGTTGCGGCGCATTTGTATAATGCTCTCTTCGTCAAGTGGGATTTCGGACTGCCTCTTGTTGATCGGGTAGGTGGAAAGGTGTCGTAAGCCGGGAGGGGATCCGGGAAGAGTCCTCTGCAGGCAAGGCAACTCACGAAGATCGCCTGTGGAGCCTACGAACTGCCGTCAAAAGCTTCGTTCTTCGCGGAAAACGGGCATGATCATGAGGAGTTGTCAAGGGAAGTGGAGGGTTACTGTTCTCGGCGGGATTGATGGAGGGCGAGATCGCTATGGCGGGCGGGATGGCTATGGCGGGCGTGAACGCTATGGAGCGCGGGAAACCGTCTTCTTCTTCTTCTTAGGTTTCTTGGCAACAGTGTTGGCCATGTCGGTCGACATCGCGGATGCTGTTCCCTCGGCGAGATTGCTGCGCGATGAGGCGATCGGAGGAGAAGAGGATTGGGATGTTCTCGGGAGCGCGAGCGTTCGTCTTGTTAACGGCTATTTAGGACGAGATACGGCCAGGGAATCATCGTCTTCAGGCACGCTGCCCTTCTTGCATTTCGATGATGTCGAGTACTTTCTCTGGGGAGATCATCGCGGGAGGCTCCTCGAGGCGGTTGCAAGTTCTGCAGTCGCTTCGGGCTTCCATTCTGCTGCAGCATTTGGCTCGGAATCGAATGATGGAGGAGGTGTGGGCTCGCAGCCCTCGGCGCCGGCGGATCCCAGTTTGGCTCGAACGGGTGGCGGTGAGCGAGCGAGAATGCCGCCTCCGTCTGTGCCAGGAGGGGCATCTGTTGAGCAGAGTGCCCCGGCAACTGCTCACTCTTCCATGCCGAGCCACGGAGGTCCTGTTTCGCAGGCACCGGCAAGCGGTTCTCATTCGGCGGTCAGCGACGGTACGATCTCTCAAGGTTCGCTCAGACCTTCTGCGAGCTTAAGCAGTCAATCTCCATCGTTGGTGGAAGGATGGGATGTAGCTGACGGCTCCGTGGCATCATCGACAAATGCTGTCAAGTCTTTGGCGTCGATGAGTTCTGCTCTCGCTTCATCTTCGGGTTCGATCGAGAGAGCTGATGATACCCTTGGTCATGGATCGGAAGCAACTGTTGAAGCGCACGCGGCCTCGGCCTCATCTACCTCTGCGGGGTCTTCATCTTCGGCCCCAGCTGTTCCTGAGTTCCTGGAGGTAATACAAGACGACACGGATTTCAGCATCCTGAACGAAGCCAACAATGAGGCCGCCGCAAGGTTACACAGATCGCTGTCAGTTGGGCTGGACTACGTGAACACTCTGCGGAACGTTACGTTTCTGGCGCCCGTGAACAGTGCGTGGGACTTTCTGGATCCGGCGATGAAGGACTGTCTGATGGCAGGGGACAAGCTGGTCGATGTCGTCGTCAAATCCCACACACTGATTGGGAAACTCACTGCGGAGATGATAAGCAATGTGCCTAGGGTTGAAAACCTCTACAGGTTTTGGCTGAATGTCACAACGGATGACATCACGAACTTAACGTCGGTGAACAATGTGGAAATCATACGTCCTGATGTGTACATGTTTCCTACGAAAGTCGTTCACGGCTTTTCACGGATAATGTTGCCGTCAAACTGGAAGTCGTTCTGTGTAGGCGACGCTGGTACGGGATCAACTTCCGTGACGGCGCCTCCGCCATCATCGGAGTCTCCTCTCGCATCGTCGCACTCGCCGCCGCCACCCTTGTCCTCGTCGGCAGCACCACCTTCTTCTTCTTCTCAAGAGGGTGTGCAAGAGAGCGATGCATCGACATCTCCGTCTTTGTCTCCGTCCTTGCCTCTCTCTTCTCCGCCTTCATCATCGGCATCCGTGATTCCTCCACCGCCTTCTGTTCCGCCGGTCGATCAGAAGTTCGTCGGTTTTATCGAAAGTGAAACCTCTCTGTCCAACCTCACGCGTGGAAGCGAGGCTTCTGCCGCCGCCGCGGAGTCCCGGGCCCCGGTGCATCCGGGAGCTCCGAAGTCCCCCATTGAGAAACTCTCTCGCCTCAGGAACGTGACTTTCCTGGCGCCTTTAGACGAAGCATGGCATTTGCTCAATCCGAACATTACTGACTGTCTTACTGCCGGCCGCTACTTGCTTGACTGGATTATCCAGTCTCAGACGATTAGAGGGAAATACGCGGCAACTGCTTTCACTGCCGGGCAGGTCGTTTATAACTTGTTCGGCGATCCGCTACACGTTTCGAAGATCGCGGAAAGCAACGGAATTCTCAGAACGTTTGTTAACGGCCTGGAACTCGTTAAGGAGAACATGTACCAGGGTAGCGACAGAGTGATTCACGGTCTATCGGGACTGATCCTGCCGAAGAAGTGGCAGAAGTACTGTACTCCGACACCGCCATCGCCAAGTACTCCGGGTAGTCAAGGCGGTGCGCAGACACCTCCGTTCTCCTCATCGCCACCACCGCGTGATGAGGATGAGTCCGTCTCAGTGTGTTGCGCCCGCACCCCTCCGCAACCGGATGAAGGTTACTCGACAGTGTGCGTGCTTCCTGCTCCCTTGTTTCCTCCCCGTCCTTCCTCTTCCTCTTCCGCACCCTCCAAGCCGTCGATAAGCACTCCGATGTCGTCATCGTCGAAGTTGCCTGTTCCTGTCAGCTCCTCTCCCACTATGAGAACGGAGGATAAGGGTTCATCCTCTACTCCAAGCGTTAGCGAATCCGAGCCACCAGTCTCAGACAAAAGTCCCGATAACTCGCCACCAATTGAGGCCTCTGCTTCAGAACCCTGCGACGTCCGGCGAGGGCGGGGTTGCGTCCCCGGCGCGCATACTGCGTCCAATGGTTCGGTGCTAATAACTTCTTCGCCGACAGAGGGCGGTGAAGAAGGTACTGATAACGGTACTATCGTGACGGGTACGAGCGGCGATACTGGGGAAGTGGACGGTGCGGAGGACCAAGGTAACAACCGTATGGCCACTTTTAATGTCATCAGCGGCTGCTCATCCGTGACGCAGATGATTAGAACCGGCTGTGTGGCTATTCCTGTGCTCACGAGTTTGTTAACCACTGTACTTGTCTTTTCGCTATCATTATCGCTCTCCGATTTTATTTGGTGAACCGATTTTGCCCGGATCTCGCCTCACTTGTCCTGGATGTTTGAGAGAGAGAGAGAGAGAGAGAGAGAGAGAGAGAGAGAGAGAGAGAGAGGGACGGACCACTTTGAATGCTTTGTTTAAGTAGAGTAGTGGTACTTGTACAGTCCGATTGCTAGTACATTGATCAAGTGATTAGTTGCAGTCGCTCTCCTTTTTGATTGCGGTCGCCCAATGGGTTCACATGTCTTTAGAGGGAAGGTTTTTACCGTTCACAACTTGCGCTGCTAGCTACTCTCGAGTCTCGACTCGTGCTCGGCGCAACCATTTTGGCTTCCCGAGCTTGTTTGCTTTGCTTGTACAGGAATTTGCATCTTGTTTTTTTGGCCTTTTTGTTGTCCTTCTTGACCCACTGCCATTGACTTGTTGATTCTCTGCTGTGGGAGGACGGCGTTGTTTCCCCCCCCTCAACTGCTGTTCACGACACCGTGTCGTGCACAGGCACACGCAGTCACGATTACGGTGGAGAAACGGTATGCGTACGGCAGTGACTGCGCGCTCATGGATCGAGCGAGTGATAAGCTTATACTATGTAGTGAATAGACTGTTGCAATCCATGGTATTCAGAAGGCCGTGGGCGGGATTGCCTGATGTCTTCAGTTGAATCACAGAAGAGAGGAATGCATCAACGGTACAAGGAGGTAGTACAAGGGCTTATCGGATGCTAGTATCGAGTGTTCAGCCGTGCACAATATATTTTGCGGTTAGGCGTGTCTGTATGTGGGAACCGTGCGTTGAGATGGTTTACTCCCGATGCGAGATAGTGCTTCTTAGGGGACGACGGCGAAAAAAGTGCGACCTTGCCTTGAAATGTGGGAGGAGAGTAGGTGGTCCTGGAAACGAAGTGGAAAAACTCTAGAGGGTAGAAAATAGGGTGGCTTGCGGAAGCAGGTTAGAACTATGCAAGTTGACGGGGAGTTCCATCCGGGGGACCTTGGACTTCGCACCTTATCATCCGTTATCTTTACAGTGCTGGGACAAGCCTCTTCCCGAGCTCTTATCACATGCCCTTGGTAATTCCCACGGAATTGTAAGCTGCAAAGGCTGAGGACCCTTGTGGGCAGCAGGGACTGGTGCACCGGTGCCATCGCTTCGCCGATGGCTGTTCCTTCCAGGAAGTGGATTATTCCCAGCGAAGAACGTCTGTCATTCGCCAGAGTATCGTTGTTTTTTGAGGGCACACCTTGGCTGTCAAAAGATACTATTGAGATCAGTGGAAACCGCGGCCAGCGATGATGTTTTCCGTCAATGGCGAAAGCTTGTCCGCCTTTGAAAGGTTGTGATGACGAAGGAATCACGGATGAATGGATGTCGAATGGAGAGGCGACACAATGGTGGACGAAGCGATGGCGACGTGGATGTTGGACAGGGCGATGCTGGGCAGGCAGTTGTGAAAGTTTTGGGGATGCTGCCCGCAAGAGAAGGTTGTTCCAATGGAGGTGTGTTGCGACAGATAATCCGAAGTTTAAAATAAGAGGTCGGAGTGTGTGATGGTCACCAGCCACCGGTAAAGCTGTGATCTTTCCACGGAGGGAGCCCGCAGAGAGCTAGTGAGCGCGGATAATCAGACTCTTTCAGCAGCGACATATGCGGAAGAGGGCAAGCCGCCTTTTGAAGGCCAGCCTTGCGCAGAGATGGAGCCTCAAATTACATTGACACGTATGGTGGGATTACCTGAGGAGGGGTGGGGAGGTAGGTGTGAGGTGTTTGCGCTGGGGAAAGATGCTGAAGCAGGTTGATCTCAAGCGAGGGCTTCGTGCTCGTGAGGGTTTACAGACGGTTAAAGTGAGGGCTTTGTGCTTGTTGGAAGCTTGATCCGGCGACGGTCTTTTGGAGGTCGGGTTCGGGAAAAGGCTATGTGCATGAGAGGATTACGGACAATTCAAGAGTGAGGAGTAAGTAGATCGGTTCGTCATCGGCTACAAGGCAGGGATGCGGGGAGATCCTTGTATTGTTCTGGGAGAGAGAGAGAGAGAGAGAGAGAGAGAGAGAGAGAGAGAGAGAGAGAGAGAGAGAGAGAGAGAGAGAGAGAGAGAGAGAGAGAGAGAGTAGTCTAGCATACGACGTTTACTAACTGTGGGTTGTCTATTACATCTTTCGCGCGGAAGGATGGTTGCTCGCACGGTGGCGCGATTGGAACGTAATCGCTGGCAAGGGTGCTGAGTGAAGAATGGTCATGAGGACCTTATCTGGAGGTGAAGGCTGTACGAAGAGATTGATTGTATTCTATAGATGATCACGATTGTGGGATGAGGCGGTTGATGAGCGGAATTGTATTTTGCGCGAAACGTGCTACTACGTAACCCGAACGGCTGTGCGGCGGAGGTTAGGACGAGTGGTCTGTCTACACACGGGCCTGAAAAGATGGTATTTTTAGGCGTCCTTCGAGAGATCGGCAACGTAATAGGCAGCGGGTAAAAGCGTCGTTTTGATAGTTTGGTCGGCAATTGAGATGTGTGCAAAGCGATGCAGTGATTCGTGAATTGATTGAGGGAGGATTCGGTGGCGGTTGATGGGAATCCCGAATCATGGTGGTATCGCCGTAATCAACCTGTTGGAGCTCCGGTCCTGTAGAGTAGGTAAATTGCGTTCCTCTTTAGTTCCGTCGGAACTTGGCCACTGCTTGGATTTGAATCTAGCGGACCGCGTTGGCCTCAAGTTGAATAGGTCGTGCTGCTACTTTTCACCTGTGTCGTTTGGAAGGGAAAGCGGCTTCCGTGTTGCTTGCTCCGTTTTTATTTTAAAACCTGATTGTGCTCTGCTATGTGGTTGCCGCTCTATACGCTACTGTCTGCAGAAAGTCCTCTTTGTGCCGAATTACGGGTCCATGGCTTTCAAGCCCTCGTACGTTGCCTAACGTCTTCTCGAAAGCAGACAAGTGTTGATTGTTTTTTTTTTCCTTTTTTTAAATAAAAGGACGACGGTCTACAAGCTCAGGGCATACTCACACTAGCAGGTTCCAAAATGCATCAGACCGGAATTTCGGCCACACCTGTATGCATCTGGCCTCAATTCCGTCCAGAAAAAAAAAAGTGTGAGTATGCCCTCAGTTGGTACACCCAATGAACTGTTGTCATGCACCCCCAAGCTCGAATCCAGCTAAGGTCGAATGAACAGAGCAAATTGTTTTTTTTTTTTTTTTTTTTTTTTGGGAAGAGCAAAATAATTTTGAAATACCTTGGGTCGGTCAGTTCAATGCTGCCGATTTTTGTGCTCTTGCTCCTGGTTCTCTGATCGCTGTCAATATAACTTTTTTGCTATTTCGGAAAGGACACCTGTCGGGCGTTTCTTAAACTGGGTTGCCTACGATCTCTGCTACCCTGGATCGTACCCCTTTGATCCGTTCAATCGCGGTCTAGGCCCTGAAGACCCCTGCGGCCTTCCTTCCCGCTCTCCTTAGCCCGCCATTGCTCCCGCCCTCTGATCACGGCGGTTTGGACTCCTGAGTCAGCCGTGGGCTTATCGTCGGCCTTCCTCTCGCCCTTATTCCCGCTCCACAAGATCTTTTTATATTCACAAAAGCGCCCTTACCTTTGGTCCAACGCTTATGACAATCCCGGATCAGAGCAGGTGCAGCATCCACCGTGGATGATGGTAGACCCGAAACCCTGAGGTCTAGTCTTGGGGGCAGGCTCCCTACGCTCTCGAGACGGAGCTTTCCCACTGCCTGAAAAAGAATCCAACCATAGGCTTGCCCTTCGCTGTTTTTCAGCTGCTCTTTTTATTCCTTCTTTCCTACCTGTAGGATGCACAGGTCCTTTTCTAGGGGTAGCGTAGTTCCTTTCTCTTGATTTGGCGAAAGTTTCCACCCATCTCTCCTTGCGGAGCGACGCGGCGGGATTGTCGGGCACAAGCAACCAGTAAGCGAGTCGTGACAGCTCAGACGTGGCCATTGAGTCGGCCCTTTAACGTAGCAGCAGAACAAGCTCGAATGCGAGAGCCAATTGGTCATCGGCCGACAGGATGAACCGATCTTTATGATTGACGATCATTCGGCGCACTGGGAGGTCCCTTCGCTGCGAATGGGCATCTCCCCCGGCTCCCTAGCATGTTCTTACCCTGTTCGCCCTACGTCGCCGAGGCTCCAATGCTTCAGCTCCCACCGGTGCTACGTTCTTGCTAAATTAGCGCCACCGGTGCTACGTTCTTGCTAAATAAGCGCCACCGGTGCTACGTTCGTGCTAAATTAGCGCGAACGTAGTCTCTTTTCTGACCAGGTGTACGTTGTTTCAGCACGAACACTGCGCCAGCCTTCGCCATCTTTATCCCGTTTCACCACAAACTTGCCTGCTCCTTGTGCGTGCTCGAAGTTGGCTTTCAGCACGAAGTTGACATGCACCAGCCTGTCCGGAAGTGCGGTGAGACCAATTCGACGAAAGTCCTAATGCGCTAATATGCCCTTAAGGGTCATATCCCACTACCCTGGATTGTTCATTTTGCACCCTCGATTACGAAGATCAACGGTCAGAAATGAACAGTAGGGGCTAGTGGGATCTGGGCCTAACCATAGCTCACCAGCAAGTACCGTAGCACAATAAGGGGGCCATGCTTGTCCTTAACCATAGCCAGCGACTTCCAAGAACTCGACCCCTTCTTAACACTCTGCCCGAGATAGGGGCCTCGAGAGTTTTCTCCTCATATTAGCATTTTCCTTTTGAGAAAATGTAATTCGGTCCCTTGCTCCGGCTTTCTGTATGGCATGCCTCGCCGAAGGTTCTTTTTTTAATCGGTCTTTCAATTTACTTTGGGCGCTCAATACGCACCCTCTGCGAAGAGACATGACTGTAAACCCCTCCCCCGGCACGTGGTTTTGAATCGGCTGACCGTTGCCTTGGAGTGGGCGGGCGCTCTGTCCCAATCAAAGGGCTTGTGCACCGTTTTCCCACATTTTGGGCCTCGCTGCACTACGCGAGACACATGAAAAATTTCAAGAGTTCGTCTAGCGCTGTCAGACTCCTGGATTGGCATCAAGTAAACCAGAAGGGAAGAAAAAAGAGGTGGTCTTCAGGACAAGAGTCCCTCATCTGATCCGGCATGAATCCTAGATCTGTATAAATACGTTTGTCAAACAGAAGTGCCCCGTAAACCATAGGTACTGAGGGAGAAGAGGACAACAACGAGGGGCCGTGACAAATTGTTTCGTCGGAGTTTCATATATATTCCATCTGCTGTGGGGTGAGTGATAGTCTGCCTGAATTTTAGTCACCGGTACCTTGAGGGCAGTGGTTGGGGCCCACCTCAAGGTATCAGTTGTTGGGCAGTCGTTGATGCCTAACCACGACCGTGGTTAAGGTGGATTATCACTTACAGTGTAATCAGTTAGGGAGCTATGCAGACTGTAGAGGGTTCAGCCTCGTGATGCGGAAGTGAAACTCGGACGAAACAGTTTGTCCCAGCCCATCATTTGTTGTCCTCTTCTCCTTCTATGTAGAGAGCTCAGTTGGTTAGGCATGCAAGTGGCATTCAGGAGACCACCTGGGCACTCCTGGTGCCAACAAACTGAGATAGTTGGCTTGCCCCCCATTGTAGGAATTGATAGGGTCCTTGGCCATCAGGTGTGTGTGTGTGTGTGTGTGTGTGTGCATGGGCGCGCTAGCCATAGACACTGTTGTTATTCGATGGGGGCGGCGGAAGTAGATGGAAGGTGCAGCTACTGGAAGTCTTTGTGTTAGCCGTCCGCCCCCTACCGGCAGCCCCACCTTACTCCCTGACCACAGCTGATTAGGATGGGGCACAACCTGCATCCCCTTGATTGTGCGAGGTAGCTATGCTTGTAGAGGCTCCCTGGCTTAGTAGTGTTAGGTAGGTAGTAGTGAGAGATGGAATTGAGAGAAGAATATTGCTTCTCTATACTCTTAAAAACTTAAAAGTCCCCGGCGTGACGCTTCCCAGTGGGCCCAGGGAAAATCGGTGTCGTGCGGCTGTGACGCTCAACCTCACGCCCTGCGCTGCTTCCCGGTCGGAGCGTTTTGGTTCGCGGGAGGGCCCCGGGAGGACAGCGAAGATGGGGTGTGCCAAGGATTTCTGGAAGAGTTGAGTGTGGTGACACAGGCAGAACTGAAATCCCCCGTGTTGGTCCGACCCTAGTAAGAAGGAGATTCGTTGCCGCCCGGGTTTTAAGGGAGAAAAAGGTGCGCGTGGGGCTTGCGGCTATGGGAAATTCAATCCAAAAAGTATCGCTGAACTTCCCAGCAAGCCGTCGCTCTTCGTTTTGTGTGAAAGGGGGCGGGTACACATGTGGTATCACGTGTATGGATGAGGTCTCGTCTGCGCTGGTTACAGAACTCCGAGTCCGACGTGGAGGACTTCAATGGAATAGCCCTCTCCTTATGCTCGTCCTCACTTCGTGTGCGGTAGTGGAAACCCTTGGCTCGGTAACGCTCGAAGCGGCGACAATCGCTGCATAGAGTGTTGGGCCAATGAGGCTCTACTGCCCACCACGGGATGGCGATCAACTCGTTAAATGGCACAACAACGAATAAGGCGGGAAGTGTGTATCAACAATCACAAATCTCGCACCGACGAATCCAGAACACAGAGTTTCGGGAGGAAAGTAGTAGCGCCCGCCGATCTTAGCGACAACTTTTCGTACGGTCCACTCGCATACACGTGTCCTTTCCTCGTTGTACAGGAAGCGGCACGACGGGGGTACCGGAAGTCGGCGCCCGGCCGGGATGGGGCCGTCAGTCCACATGGCAACAAAAGCAAGCGCAAAGATTCTTCCTAATCATACATCCTTGGTTCGACACTCTAAGCAGCCAGATCATCCAGTCAATCAGCGGATCATCATCCCAATCATGCTACAAAAGCTCTCCAATATGACCCACTGCATGCACATATCAAAGTGAGAGAAGCAAAGTTACTATAATCCATCCATGATAAAAAAACATAACAGAAGGAGAGGAAAGAGTGGAGAGTAATCATAGAATGTTCGGCGATCTTGTCAAGGGAAATTCCGGCTTAAAAGCAGAGTGACCAGAACTTATGCTCGAAGATACAGATTTTCAAAAAAAAAGAGGCACTTCCGCCATAAGATTCCACCATGGCCCCGGGCCATACATCCAACCAGCCTTCTGCTTGAACCTCACACCGGCACTGACGATCCCGACCGTCACGTGCTACTCCCACCATAGCGATCGTCACCCTGCCGACTTAGTCTCTGCACAGTCTTGCCTGGATCCCACAGTTCGTCGGGCAATCCAGCGCACAGCCGTCATCGGCCCGTCAAGACTACACTCAACTCGTCATGACTTTTTGACTCGCATCGTCCACGTATCACCTATCCACTGCTTCCCGGAAGCTGCCTGACGATTTGAGAGAGAGATTTTTGGGGGCGCTTGCGAAATTTATAGCTGCAAAAAAGGAGGTAGATGCTAAGAACGGTTAGAACTGAGGTAGGGAGGGGTAGGGGAAGGTTCAAGGATAATCGCCTGGCGAAGGCCATGTCGATCCTTCGGATCCCAGTAGTAGCCAATCAGAATCGTTGTGTATCAGGAATTTCCTTCTTACACGGCGCGTCTCCTTGGCTAAACAGGAGGAGGATGGAGTCGACTGAGTATTCCGGTGCAAGGATTAGAGCGGGAAGAAGAAGAGCGCGAAGGATAGCGCGAAACGGAACCAAGATCAAGAAAAAGAAAAGGCGCACGAGGCAAAGCAGAGATGGAAAAACAGTTACACACACACAGAGAGAGAGAGAGAGAGAGAGAGAGAGAGAGAGAGAGAGAGAGAGAGAGAGAGAGAGAGAGAGAGAGAGA